GAAGCTTCCCACCCTCTGGTCATCCTATATTTACCTTTAGAGTTTTGATATGGTGTTTTATATCCAGCAAAATAAGTGTTAAACACTACCATGCCTATTTAAATGGAAAAGGGCTCTGCAGAATGTGTGTGTGTGTGTATATAGGTCAGTGATCACCAGATTGAATCTGGGCATGCCATTAGAGCCCAGTGGCTAGGAGCTCCAAAGAGGGTGGAGTAGTGGAGTCCAATGGGCTGAGTGCTTCTAGGGATGAGTGAGGCCTTATCGGTTGTGGGATCCTTGGCTGACTGAACAACAGTTCCCTCTGCAGCTCGTAGGATGCGCCTGCGAGTCTGGTGGGTAAATAAGATGACGCTTATTAACCACATTCAGAATTTTCCAGATAGGAATGAAGAATATAAGAAGAGATGTGTGAAACAGTATGCAGAAGCTATACGTAGCTATAGATCTAATGACATTAGCTGCACAGTATAAAGATGTAAACGTGAGGTGCACTTTTAACTGAGTGAATCACATGGGACATGTCCCATTGAGGCTTGAGCTCTATTACAGATAAAAACCTGGGTTGTGTCAATAGCCAGATATGACCAAGAGGCTGCACTTGGCCAGTTGTGGGATGAGCAAAGTATGGGGGGGGGGGGACAGTCTGTGCTCTTGGTGACACAGTGACCTTTGCAGTCACCCAGGTGCTTGCAGGAGTACAGCACTGTAAGTTTGGGACTCCTCCTCCTATTTAAATTGGGACGACTCCTCCATTCGCCACCGCACCTCCAGTGCAGGGCTCTTGCCTGCGCCAAGTTAAAAGACAAGTGGCTCGAAGATGCGCAGTTTGGAGGAGGCAGCGTACATCTCCTCATTCTCCCCTGTGTATAGTGATGGGCCAAGATCTGAAAAACAATTTGGCTATTCCAAATTGGGTGGTAATTGCAAAAATGGTGAATTCCCGAATGAAAAAGAAACAAAACGTTTGTGTGCCAGGATAAATTAAAATAAGACCATAAGACATTTCTGGATGGAGCTGTGGGTAAATCTAGACACTGCCTCAGCAGCCCAATCTCCTCTCTTCTCTAATGAATCAGGAAGCTACTGTTTGTAATATCTGTTAATATCAAGTTCTTGCAGCCAACTGGACTTTCAGTATATAATCTTGGGCAGCATTCCGTCAAATTTTAATTCTACCAGTTGTAGAAAGCCTTACATTTACAAAGGTTTGGTTTGGGAAAACTCTTTATTAGGGTTTGTGTACGTTAAAGCTGTACAATTTATTCTTAAATGTGTTGTAAAAAGTAGTGAGCCTTTGTGGGGTAAAACTGCTTAAAATTTAGATTAAACCTTTTCTCTTTTCTTTCAGGACATGTGGTAAAATCTACATTGCTGTCTCTGATAATGCGTAAGTTGAACCCATTTGACTCCATCCTTAGTAGTAATGGACATACCAGGAATATTCTTTCTTAGAAAAGCTTAAGGCTTCAAGCGTCATTAGTAAAAACAAGCAATAACAGTAAATGAACTATCTTTTTAATTAAAACAAATCTTCAAAACGGTCAGGTAGCCTTTTATTTGGTTGTGCTGAAAACAAACCCTGCACTTATAAAATCTCCTTGAAAAGAAACCTTTTCCCAACCCCCTACTGCCAAACCTAACTTAAGGTCTTATAGGTGTGAAGAAACAAAAGCACTTTGCAGAAATCCTCCTAAACCAATGTAGCACATGCAAGCTCCATGCAGTAAAACCCCCCATCAGAATTAAATTGGAACTGTCAGGCAATAGTGCTCAGCAACTAGTTATTATTAACATAGCACTGTTGAAGATCACTGAAGAAGCCCAAAGCTGCTTTTGAAAATGTGTGGAAATTCCCAAGAGCCATATTCAGATTCTTCTTTTGTTCCTTTCTCTTATGTAAGTAAGAGACATATTCTCCTAAAAATTTTGTGAAAATGGATAAGGAAAAAGGATACTAGGTAAAGTGTTTTCTCAAAATAAATCTAAAATAATCTGAAGTATTAAGTATCGTTACACACATACAGTAGTCTCACTGCACTCAGAACATTAATAATGTTTTTATTTTCCAACACTAAAATGCAGTAAACTGGATGGAGATAATGAGAGCAAGTGGATTCTGCCTCTATGTCGCCATTAGTCTTGCATGTGTTAGTCGTGTTGGATCTTGTGCAGTGTTTTCATCAGTTATTTAAGACATTGCTATATGTTCCCAGGAACTAACAGAAAATTGATACAAGGGCATGTAACCATTATTGATGCCTTACTGTGACAAATAACTGTTCTGAAAAATGTCTGCATATTGACCATGTGTAAAAACTTAGGTTAATAATTTTATTTTACTTATTGTTGTAGCAAGCGTGACCAGCTTAAGTGTATAAAATAGCTGAAAAACAACTGTGGGCAGACTGTTTTGTTTTTACCTAAATTTACCTAAAATAACTTATGTGGTCAGCTTTTAGTGAAAATGATTTAATACTTTGTATTTAATATTACTACCACAATGTCAGTGCTATAATTGACTTTTCTCAAATATTTGGCTTTTCTCAAATATTCTGGATATTGTCCTTAAGAAACTCTTAATGAGATGATCTCATGTTTGCTCTGTTGTTTTCTTCAGGGGAAATGCAGGACCTGATGCTAAACAGATTATGAGAAGCTGCTGGACACTATTTCTGTTGGCAAAAGGTTGGTTTCTGTTACTGTAAGATGCAGGTTACTGACCCCAGCATTACTCACTCTGTCTAGCAATCAAACAGAAATTGGCTTTTATCTGACATGCTGCTTAAGTGCATTAGCTGTACAGGGTTATATGTAAGTTTGTGTATTATTTTAATGAAGAGAGATAAACAAATTGACTTTTCTCTGGATGCTTCAGAGAAACAGGCTGTTCAGCATTCTAATGCAGTTTGGCCAACATGTTGTATGAGCATTAAAACATTTGCCACCTGTGTTGACTTAGTTACTTGGATTGTTGTATAAACTTGCTAAAATTGTTCTAAGCATAGGATTACTACTTAAAAATGTCTAGTGAAAAAGCTTGTAAGTTGAAGTGCTTTTTGAGTCAGAGCTAAATTGCCACTGGTTCAGATGACGTTGTGTTGTTGGAAACGGTTGATAAACAGTTAAAATAACCTTAGAAACACCATACGTGTACAAACGTGTCCAGACTGTATAGTGCAACTGCAGTGAAAAGCAACATCCTGAAATTTAAATTAAGCTACTCTAACCAGCGTTTAAGTCATCCTTCCTTTTGAAGGAAGAGGACATTAAGTAATGTCGCCTTTTTCTATTTTAAAGTGTTGCTGCTTTCGATAGTCAGGTGAATGTGTCATGTGACTCCTTTTTTGTAAAAATGTGATCTCTTCCATCAGCCAGGCTCATCAAGGCAAAACTAGCATTTAACCAGATCTATGATGTTTCTTTAGTAAGTTATGCTGCTGAACTAAATTTAGTGCTTGAATTTCTGAAAGTCAGTGTAAAAGTTGATGGATTCACTTCCATCGATGAACACTGTATATGCAGAAAAAGTTGTCTGGCTTTATTTGAAGTTGAAAGAAGTGTTACAGATTATAGCTTAGATTAAAAAAAAAAAACTTTGTAGCTGTATTAGGTGTTAAAAGCAAAAATCGCTGATTGGTTCAAACAGCAAAAGCACTCATTCTTACTGTAGATTGAGCTTCCTAGCTCAGATACTTTGGTTCTGATTCCTGTGACCAGGGTTTCTTCGGGCATTTAGAAATGTATATAGCTAGTATTCTGCTCAGCAAGACCCTGGGGACTCAGGACTGTGTATCTACAGTCAGTACTAATTCTGCTGTGAGGCTCTGTGGAAGTCCTCCTTCTCTACCTTTGGCATGTTACTGTAAAATTAGTTGATTGGCAGTCAGTGACATTAAATGCGGAGAGGAAAAAAAACAATTAGACATAGCAAAATTCTCTCAAATTACTGAATCTGAAATGATTAGATGTTTAGCTGATGCTAAACATTTTCTGTTTGTGGCTATATTTTACCCAAATACAACATGGTTTTGGTGGGTTTAAATTTGGTCAGAGTTTCTTGGGCTGACTGCACAGCAGCTGCCACTCTGACTGGCCTGTCACCTGTGCTTTGGGCTTGCAGGGTGAAAGAAGTGGGTGCTCTGACTAAAAGTTTTTAAAGAGATTTCTCATGGTTTCTCAGGTAGCTACTGTATGCAGTGTTGTAAATTTGAGTAAATTACCATATTTTAAAATCCTATCTCTGGGCTTGCATACAACAATAATAATGGATTACCCTAATTTTAAATTAATACCCACAAATGAAATATGAATAATTTAAGTTGTGTAATGAAAGAAGCTGGAAGCAAGTCATACAAAACATGTTCTGAGTGCTTGCACAATATTACCAGAAAATGCAAAGGTTTGTCGTGCTGTTGCGTGCGAGTCTTCTTTTTTTCTAAAAGGAACTTTACCCTACTTGTAAAGTCTTGTTGACTTTTGGCAAAGGATTTCCTCTATTTCCTCTTGCTAGCATTTTGCCATTGCTAACGTGTTTGTGAGTTCTGTTCTATTTTTGAGCAACCAGCTCACTTCCCCTCCCCCCCAAAAAGCCCGCCAGACTCTGTCCTCGCTGGCCAAGGAACCATTGACACCCCGCCTCTGATGGCAGTGTTTTGATCTTCCTTTGCTTTCAGGAAATGTGCTGCAGATGGAAGATGACCTGGTGATCTCTTTTCAACTGCTGCTGTGTGTCCTTGAGTACTTTATCAAGCGCTCTCCCCCCACTGTTCTCCAGGAGCCTTTCAGTAAGTGTGAGGCATCATAAAAGCTAAACAAAGGAGCTCAGAGATTGTGGATCAGGATCAGGCTGGACAGCCTTAAGCTCTGTTCACGGCATGATATTTCTATATTGGGAGATTTTGGAATATTAAATAAGATAATAAAACTGCTTTTCAGAAGTGTACAAGCCAGAGAAAAATTAAGCTGATTGACTTATTATATCCCAAAATTGTAGCCTCCGCACCTCATGAAAAAATTTGACAAAGCAGTATGGATCACAGACATCTTATGAAATGTCTGATTTTCTTTTTGTCTGAAAATGTACAAATGTATCCCCTTAATAATTTGGAAAACTAAAGGTCTCAAACCTCAAAGCTTATTTTTCACTCTGGTATTAACTGTGAAAACTAACTGGAAAACTAAAGTGAGAATATACAGTATATGTTTTTGCATTGATCCTCAAAATTAAATGTCCTGATGTCTTCTCTGTGAAAAAATATTATTATAATCTGTAAAAAATACATACTGTCAGAGTTTGCAGTTATTTAAATAAAATACTGAGTGATTACATGTATTGAAGTTCTGCCTTCCCAGACATCCAAACCACAACAGAAGTAATAATGCAATTTCTAATGTCTGTCATCATTGCCAAAGTTGATGAATGTCATTCTGTCGCCTTGCCATGGTGTCTTCAAAAATGTTTTTGGGCAAATAGTTAGCCTAGCACGAACCAATCTGGGCTGTCACATGGAACAGCAGGAAGTTGATGGAAAAGCACTTGATGACAACATTGTTAAAACATGGTGTACAAAAGATAAAACCCTCTTGAGATGTGTGCTGAAGAAAATGTGCAAAGACAGAATTTTCTGAATCTTTTATTGGGGATGTTTTAAACTGCCCTCTGTGAAATTTGGGAGTGATGTTTAATAGTAATATTCCATCTGACTGCAAAGTTAAGAGGTGGTTTCTCTTATCAAATTAAAAAAATGTGAGTTAATTAAAGAGCAGGGCCATCAATTACATTTGCTGTTGTGATTCAAGTTATGTGCTTGGACCCAAGTTAAACCCAGTACTGATGGACCCTGTAAATGGTACAAATCCAGTGATCTCTATTTGATGAGAAATACTTGATACTCAACAAACTTAGCGGCCTTGGCCTTGTTTCTAAGTGCTGACAGGTTCATATGGTGAACGCTTGCTGGAATTGTTTCTTTCCTCCTAAACAGAGATTGCTGCTAATGGGGTTCATAGTACCACCCCAACAAGGACATCACGGCGTGGCCTGGGTAGGGGTGCCCGTGCTGCCCCCAAACCAGCTGACACTGACCTGCGGGTGATGGAGGCCCTGTGCAAGGAGAACGAGTGTACTGTGGACGAGGTGGGACTGGGTTCCTCACATCCGCCATCGCATCACTTTCAGTAAACGCTTATTCAGTTCAGGGTCGGGGCCTGGAGATTTCCTGGGAAGCACTGGGCACAAGGAGGGACGCACCCTGGATGGGATGCCAGTCTATCGCTGGACCCAGAGTGTTAAACACAGACACACGCACTTGCAAAAGGGACAGTTTTCCCAGAAGCCACTTAGCCTACCAGTATATCTTTTGAACTGGGGGGGGGGTAAAGTGAAGCATCCAGAAGAAACCCATTCAAGCCAGTAGAGAATATGCAAACTCCATGCAGATAGCATCCCAGGACCCCAGTACTGTAAGGTATCAGTACAACACTGTGTTCACCACTGCGCTCTTCAGGGCCGTTTTCATCCCTTTAAAAATGTCTTGCATTTTTTTTGCACATGTTACATTGTTACTATGGTTTTGTAAAAAGGCTTTATTTTTTTTTCAAAAAACATCTTTAATCTTTGCATGGCAGAAATGCTTTATCATCCTAGGCCTTTCACAGTTAACCATAATTATGTGCAGAATCATTATTTCCCAACATCTGCTTTTCTTTGAAGTTCTCTTATTTCATGTGTTCTGTTTTATTATAAGCATATGTGACAGTTAGCTTTTGCATGTGTAACGTATACAATTTTAGATCACAGAAAATAAATGCTTTGAGTAATTTACTTACATCATTTATAAGGAGAATGCCTGAGCTGTTTCTGAAATTAGGGGACAAGCCTTTTCCCTAACTGCTAAACACAATAGAGCCACTTTTTTGTAATCTTGACTGAATCAGCAGTTTAATTTTAGACACTCCTGAATTTGCAGTATCCGTCAATTAAAGCCAAGCTGACAATGGTTCATGTCACCATGAGCGAGCGTTCCCCGAGAATCAATGAGAACACGGTTAAATTTGGTAACAGGAGGGGCAGTAATAGTGGCCTGCCTTTCCCCTGTCAGGGTCTGGGTTAGGCGGGATGCAGGCTTCTATTGTTAATCGTTCAGACCCATTATTCCCCCAATTACCTGTGGGGTGGCCTGCCTTCAAGTGATAGAGCTTCACTGTGCAGTTGGGCCCACCAGTGAGCCCTTTCCTTCCTTTATGCTCAAAATAGATAACTGACCAACATCAATCAGGCATTTTTCTCCTTGGTTAAGAAATGAGTCAGACTAGTATATAACTGGATTCCATTTTTAGCCAAGTTAAACCCACTTTATTTATAATCGAAGACACCCTGTCTGCTGACTGTAGAAATACAAAATAAATGTTCTAACACTGTGATCAGGCTGAAACCTGTTATGCTACAGCATGCATCTTTGAGTTTAATGCCAAATGTAGTATCTGTCCCACTGTCAGTATCACCTTGCTCATTCCTTGTGAGGTGGTCTGGCCTAGATGTTGTAAATAAGGAGGATTCAGATGAGAGGAAGCTATGTAACCGATTTTCAGTAAGAAATTCATGTAAGGGGGTCCCATCTTACCATTTTGTAAAGGGCATCCAGAGTATCAACTTCAGCTTTACCAGGCAGCTTGTCCCATATCCCCACAATAATTTGAGTTACAAAAACATCCTGTTCTTTGTTTTAAAATCCCTTCCACTCTGTTTCCACTTGTGTAATGTGGTTCATGTTTAACTGTTGATTCTCAAGACATCCATCAGGTTGACTGTTAATGCTTTTGAGAATTTTGAATGTTAGAATCAGGCCCCTCTCAAAGTCTTCTCTTCAGAATTAAGAAAGATTATGTTAACCAGTCAGTGTGGGACATTCATTAGAGCCCAAAAATCTATCTGGATGTTTGAGGATGGCAATATATTACTTCTTAATAACCAAAATTGTAAATGGTGTTCCAAATGATTTCTAGTGTGTTTTATGTTATTAGCATTACATCTGATTTAAATTGTGCTGTTAACTAAATATCCTGACATCCTGTCTTTTTATTGCTTTTCCACATTGCCTGGAAGTTGAAAATGATGTACAGACATCCACAGTTAAGTCATAAGTAGCTTCTCCAGGCTTTATTTTCTAGTTGTATTTATTATTGCTACTGTACCTGAGTGCAACACCCTGGCATTTCAGCATTAAGCAGGTAATGCTTTGAGACAATCTACTGTAGCTGGCCTTGCGCTCAGGAACCTGTTTGTTAAGGCTATTCTTTAAAACAGGGTGTTAAGTTATTATATGGTAATGGTACAAAACTAGTTTTTTTTTCTTGTTCACTTTACCATCTTTTTCTAATTCCTCAGGTAAAGAATGTGTATTTCACCAGTTTCGTGGCCTTCCTTGATTCTGTGGGATTGGCAGGCTCACAGGAGATTCCTGAGGTACGTTTAAGCTTTTCAAAAGGGTAGAATCATCAGCAACCACAATTGAAATAATACAATTAGCAATAACTTTTATTAAGTTACTATATATTAAATTAGCATAATAACAAACTTTTGGAAGTGGCTTGCTGCAGTGTTTGCTGTAACAAGGTTTTCCTTGTTCCTCAAGAATCTAGCATAGTTGCCTGCTCTGAAACACCTTTCTATGACTGGAATCATCAGTGGAAGAATTGTTTATACTGCTTTCTGGGCTTTCTGGCACCACACTGTCTAGTTCATCTTCATTTACCTAAGAAGTTACACAGGCCGAGCGAGTAACGTCTCCTTCTTTGTGTGCTGTCTTTAATGTTTTTAAAGAAATGTAAAATTTTACACAAAAAAAGAGGCTGGTTTTCTGGTAGCACAAATGAAGGGGAAAATAACCCCTCGATTGAAAGTTTAAATGAATCTAGTTTTTTATCAATGTTAATCTAAAAAATTGAAAAAGATCAAAGTCCTTATTCATAATCTTTTATCACCCCATAATGTTTGTATTCTCTGAAAGAAGAAAAGGTTTGAAGCTGCAATGTGCTGTGGCTAAACTTTCAAAATGTTATTAAATATTAAAATTATATAGATATTAATATTAATTTGTCTGGTCCAGCTGGATTTGATCTAGCTATATGTCTGCTTATTGTGGATGACACTTAGTTACTCCAGGAATCGGATCATTACGTGTTTTTTGTTGAAAGCAAAAGTAGTACAGTAAATATGCATGTTTTACCACATTGAAGGAGGGGCAAAGACTGATTTAGTACTTGTGTATTTGTTCAATCTTCATTGGATGAGTTAGTTAGCGTCAGCTAGGGGTTATTGTTTCAGGCCGAATGATAATAGTATAACCTGCCAGTTGTGAATTGTCTCAAGATTCAGTTCTGGCCATCATCTTCTCTCGGACTTTCTGTATATGCCTGTTTGTGCTCAGTGTGGCAGGTATTTATATCGCAGTCAGTCATCGGGGACATAGTATGCTTAAGATGGCCAAGTTTATGGAGCAGAAAGGATTCACACAGGCTGGTAAAAACAGCCTTGGCATTGCAAATGAAACTTTTCATTATTATACAAGTAGTGACAAGCTTGTCTCTATACAGCTGACAGCAACATAGTGTTCTGGTGCCTTAGCTGACTTGGCCAAAGGCCAGGGACACTCATGCACATTACTCCACTTCTTGCTTTCACGCACAGTAGACTGTGCAATCCAATCGTCAGCTCTCTGTGCCAAGCAAATTCCCCTGGTGGCCATTACTTTTAGCCTTTTTTTATTCTATAATGAAAACATAGCTGTATCTCATGAAGAATGCGTAACATGAATGTACAAAGTAAAAGGAGATTTTTGTTTCTTAAGATTTTCTAGCTTGCTTCTAAATTTGAAATAGAAGTTGCTGCAAAAGTCTAAGGAAAAAATAAGGAAAAAGTTGTATTCTGGATTAAGAGTTACCATCAAGGATTTTACATGAAATATTTTAAAAGAAGGGAGTGTTGTACTCTGGATCAAGAGTTACCATCAAGGATTTTACAAGAAATAATTTAAACATTTTCGGTTATCAGAAATTAGTTGAGAGGTCATATGGGCTTTTTAAAGACAAAGTGTTAGTTTTACATCACAGTGCATTCACTGTGTGGAAGATACTGTGCTCTGGTAGTATGGCTAAGGATCTTGGCCCTGAATTTCTGGTCTTTGAGTGGACAGCAACAAAAATACATAATACATAATACATACTGTATAAAAAAAACTTTTAATGTACTTAAAGTTTTAACTTATTCCATTTCTTTGGTGCCTTTTGCTAAAGCAGCCACAGGAATTGTTGTTTAACACCACTATAATACAACTGTTAATGGAGAACTAGGAAAAATATTACTAGCTCAGAATTCATGACTTTGTTCATGACTAATTCATGAATTCAGATCTATGTTCAAATCAGTTAGAGCTTGTCAGAATAAGTTAATTCATGTTGACCACTGTCATTGTACTTTATTGATACAAATGACAATACTCTTACCTTATTTTTAATGTTCTGGAGTTGAATTTTAAAGATTTAGAAAAGTACAAAATGTCTAAATTCCAAGATTATTCAGAAGGCTCATACTGAGTGTTTTTCAACTGACCTCACTCACCAAAACGCACCACTTGCTTGGTCACCCTACCACCAGTGAAAAAGTCGGTTGTTTCTTGTGCAGAATTGTAAACTTCCCCAAAAATGGATGGAAGTGATTGATGTTCTTTTGGGGAAGCAGCACTCTTTGCAGTAACAGTATGTAACTCAGCATGAGAAAAGGTCATTAAATGACCGTTGTTTTGATTACTGTTTTAAAGTTTGGCCCCACTCGTATTCAGCATGAGTGATAATTGTTTTATATGCAAATTCCTAATGTTTTACAATGATCAATTTTGTATTGTTTCAGTCTGAAGATCTTTCCAAACAGTATGAAGAGCTTTACTTTAAAAGCAAAGATTTTGATGCCAGGTTGTTCTTGGATCATGATGAAACCCTACAGCCAGTTAAAACCGATGTGTAAGTACTCAACTACAACGAGGAGGCTGGGACTCCTCGTTGTAGTTGAAACTTTTGAACAACTCTTGAAAATATTTCAAAATGTTTAAATTGCATCTGTCCCTTACCAGCAGTATACTGTAAATTGTCTCTGGGTGATCTCTGCGTTTGTTCTTCAATACTGTTCAAGTAAAAAACTAAAACTTTCTATTCTTTTTTTCACATGTCTGTTGTCATGTGCTGAATGTGAACATTTAAACCTTTATACAGTGGATTGTGGCACTACTGCCAAGGACATTGTCTGGGAGTTTTATTTTATTGTTGAGCCAACATGACTCTTTGTTTAACCATAAAACTAAATCTGTAAGACGGAAAAGGAAAAGTGTACACCGTGGAGCAAAAGAGAAGAAAAAACGAATTGTTCTGTTGTTACAAAGTGATGTTATTGGGTATCTAAAATAGAAATATGAAACAAGACTGGTACAGTAATTGAGTTGGCATAAAAGCTATCTTTGACATCAAGAGATCAAAGGAAAAACTGTTGTTCACTCTCAAAAGTCCTAATAGCAGCGGACAGCTCAGCAACAAGACAACCACAGAACGTCGATTCCCTGTTTCATTGCACATTAGTCTGTGTTGGGTTTCTTAGTATTTTCAGCTGTCTGCTATATGTAAAACTTTTTTGCTGATCAGTTTCTCATTTCATTTCAATTGAATATAGTGAACCACTCCAGAGCAGTGGTTCATTTTCCAGTATAAAGTATTCTACAGAATAGAAATGTTTCAGCATTTTTACCTTGTACTGTTGTGATTTAAAATAATGGAACAAAACTGAGCTATTACCACCACATTAGAAATTCTGGCTGCCACATGGCACTGAATTTCTAATGCCCGGATTCTTAGATATCTACAGTATGTGTTTTTTGGTCAAGTGTCTCCATGTGAGGCTGCTCATTTTCTGCAGCTTTGTGCCTTTAGGTATTTTTCTCATACATTTTTAGAAGCTTGTGACACAGTAGTTTTAAAACAGCCATTCCCGTTTCGGCATAACGTTTGCAAATTTTGTTCTCAGCAGTTTTTTTTCTTTGAACTTTGAACCTGTAGCTCCATTGTGCCCGAAACACTTTGTTTCTGTTCCTGTAAATGCATTAAAGACATTTTGATGAGTCTATTGAGACATCATCTAGTATATTATCAAGTCAAGAGTAAGAGCCCTAGGCCAAGGTCCCCATATTGTATTAAATTAATAGAATGAAAGAAATGCCAGAAAATAACTTAATTTTGACATTGAAGAAAAGACCCCCAGTCCACCTGAATTCTGATATCCACTGGACTTCTTTAAAGGTATCCACTGAAAATAATCAATTTTCTCTATATTACTTATCTCTCAGTAAGAGAATATTAGGGAGAACAATGTTCTTGTGCAAGAGTCAAAAAAGCCCAGTTGAGCAATTTAGTGCTGTGTCAGGGAGCATTTGTTCAGATAGCACAGATATGAAATATATTTGTGGAATTGATAAGGTTGGTGTTAGATACAGTAGATAGATACTTTATTGATCCAGTGAGGGAAATTGCAGTGCAACAACAGCTTAACACAGACAACACAGCAACAGTGTAACGAATTATACAATAATAATACAATACAATCAGTACAGTGAGAAGTGCACTAAGAAGAGTTACTCACAGTCCAGAACACACAAAGAACAGAACAGTACACAAAAGAAGTCATATTGCACAACATAAATATAAATGTATTGCACAGGTCCTTGACATATATTACACAAAAATGGTTGTAAACGTGTTGCAACATTTTTCACTTACACATATGAAAAGATATTTGTTTACTGAATGCATGTCAGCATTGAAATAAATAGCACAAATGTCATAAAGTTGCATCTTTACTCTTTACCCATGTGGCTTAGAAGTTATAAGATGGGTATCCAAGCTACATTTGTTAGACTTGCTCGTCTGCCATTAGCTGTGTAGTAAGAGTTTGGGGATATTATATTTTTAAAACATTATGCTCTTTTGCACATTAGAATCCTGCTTTTTGTGCCTTGGTTTTAATGGAACAATGGTGAAGTGTGTTGCTGCTGTCTGTTACAATGGTGCACAGGTGACTTAAAGCCTGCCATCAAATGAAAAAAGGGACCTGCAGCAATTAGTTTTTACAGAAATTTAAATCCTAACCAATCAAGAATATCGGGTAACAAACTGTGGTCATGTACACATCTAAGCCTGGATTTTGCATGCTTTTGTACTTTTCAGCAACAGCAAGCGTGAGTTTTGCATAACTAGTCCATAAATTAAGTATAGTTATCTCTTTGCTGTTAATTTGTGCAGATAGCAAAACCATTTACAAAGATCCAAAAACACTGCTGTAGCCCATTTCTAGATTGAAAAAGAAACATTGTTCTGTCATTGCACTTGTTCAGAACAAAAACATGTTTTCACTGTCTCATTCCATAGGAACCTGATGGTATCTATTTTTTTCCCCACAGGTCACAGCTGGAGCGAACGCCCAGAAAAAATCCTTTGGAGGAGGAGGTACTCCCCATCCCACCACAGACTCCAGTCAGGTGTGTGCACATGTGCCAGCCTCAGTGACTGCTTGTTTCACTTATCTGTTCTTCCAATGTGTTCTTGTACAAAAATTCATTCACTGTCATATGGGAGTTTAATTGCTTCATTGGTACTGTAAGAAGTACTATAATGGAAAAAAAAGTGAGGAAATCGTCCCAAACTGCATTTCAGCCCCTTGCCCATGATAAAGTATTCTATATTTCAAGATAATGTTGAATTTTCTCTAACTTTGTTTTTACCTGTACCACACTTGGCTTTAACCTCATCTTTATGTTAAACTGATGCCACTCAAATGCCTCATATAATAAAAGTGCTATGCAGAGCATATGCCGAGTTCTGTAGTCTACAAATGTCTGGCTTAAACAAATGTCACATCACTGGACAGCCTTTGAGCTGTGTTCTGCCTGGTAAATTGAGCACTGTCCAGACATGAAGTTGTAGATCTGATTTACAGTTTAAAATATTTTTGTGTAACAGTGTAGATTAAATTCAATTGTAGGACAGTTAGAGGATTAGTAATATTTTGTTGACATGAAAGCCAGTTCATTGGACCTCTCTTCTCAGTCGTGGCCAGTGAGGAAGCTTGCCAGACTGGTTTTGTAACAAGGTGGACAATAAAGACATTACATAGTGTTTTATAAGAGCAACTGGTAACACCAAAGCAAAGTGTTGCATTTTCAGTGTTTTGCAGCATTCCAGCCTTTAAAAGACATTTACTAGAGCCAGTATGTTCATTGCCCTCTGGGTATTGGCTTTTTTTATTTTCAACCATAATTAAAATAAATTATTTGTGATTATTGTACATAAACTGCATCTCCATTCGGTTGAAAGGATTATTATCAGAGCAACCCGGTTTTCAAGAGGTGAAAATAAATGCACAGCCACATATGCAGTTGGTAAACCACATAACTGTAAAATGGATTTGTGAAAATGATGGTTGAAAAACATAATTTAGTATAAATAACATTGAAAATGTGGAACACTGCACATAAGCGATAAAGCTTAGTGTGATTTTACAATGTCTGCTTGAAAATGCATAAGTAGTTCCCAGTGGAAAGAGAATGGATAAATACCTGTGGATGTAACTGTATTTTTTATATTTAT